GTTGTCGTACGCAAAACACATGATCATTAATATTTATGCCAAATTAAAGCTATTCTCAGATAATTATTCACGATAATATTACTGATAATAGTAATGGTAGTAATAATAATCAATAGTACTGATAAAACGACCGAAATAGTAACAGCAAAATGGTAATAATAATATCAATAACATTCACTGAACAGTTGAAACATGCTGACTTGCTCATTTTCGATTTATGCGAAACAAATTCCAAAATGAGACACTGATCAACACCAAGATGAATCGTCCTACATGGTTATAGTGAAGAAAACATTGTAAACATAAGCATTAGTCGGAACACTGATCATAAAAATCATCATGTTAATAATCATAGGAGTGAACATTGGTATCTTTCAGCTTGTGTATAATTCGTGTTACAGTGCACTGAAATCATACTGTAACATGTGAACAAATGATCAGACGATACGGTACCCAGTGTACGTAATACACACACGATTCAATTGTATTACATCCAAACACATACGAATCGAGCGAAATACGCTTAGATAGACAGCGAAACGACTGTGAGATAAGTCAGTGACAGAACAACATTGTTTCTATGACCGATACTAATAGCAATGGAAGGAACTGGTTAAAGTATTAAAATAGCGGATATAATTGGCCTGATAATTAGCGTTATTCCTGGAAGTAATATCTAACAAAAGTAAACGAACAAATAATAAACTGAACCTCAATAATCTGACAAGGATCACTGTAATTGATTTAACTACAAATGGGATTTATGTTAGATAGAGAACTCTGATATAATTTTTCCAAATGATCGACGCATTTTCTTAGCAGATTCCGATGTATCCCAGGATAATTCAACTAGTCAATCCTGATTATCAGTAAGGTTACATCAAAGCCAATTAAAACCAAACATGAAGAATAAATTAATCATGGAACAAAGCAAACTGAACTATCGAATAGCTCTGAACATATTCAGTACAATAAATAATAATCAAATAAAAGAATTACGTTGTTCTGTTTCCCTTAAATTCTCACAAATAAGAAGTCATCACAAGATAAACAATCCACTTTTTAACACAACGTCAAAGATGCAAAGTTGAAAATCTCAATGATCATTGCAACATATATCACATTATGAACACAAATCATAGTCACGAATCGTTCAAAAAAATACGAAAGATACGACAAATAAAAAACTGAATCAGTAAAATAAACAATCAAAATCATACAAGAACATGTCATTGGGGATTGAGTCTTCTAGAGCAGAAAGCATTTCAAAATCACGCACTCGAATCAAAAACGAGCTAAAGTAACACATACACACAAGGACTGCTATCAATTACGGAATCAAAAAAGAAACAGAATAAAATTTCATAATACACTGGAAGCTTGTTATAAATGGATGACATTCGTTTTGAATTAACAATAAGCAAAAATATTTACTCTACTATTTAAAATAGCAATGACAGAAACAATAATAATTTTAAATTCTATACCACAGAAGAAATACGACTAGTTAGGAGAGTTTGAAAACTACATAAACGTTAGTTGATTAAACTGCTGACATTAGGTACACATTGATATAAATCATTTTATCAACTACTTGTGAAGTTTTGTTCATTTCTTTCAGGTAGAATTTTAGGATGCATATAATTTCAGGTTGCACACAGCTTGAAAATTCACAGTATTTTTCCTGATATAATGGAACGTGACGAGTTCATTTTCGGTTCGTCAACTATTCAATCTTCAAAAAAATAAAAGGAAAATGTTCTGGAGATGAGAGATGCTGATGAGCGCGAATAAATACTCAACGACCAGCTCATCAAAAGATCTATGAATATCCTACAGACCTACGAATATCAGTGCTAAAGACCTATTTCGTAAAATGAGATGGATTGAATCGTCACGTTGCGGAAGATAAGATCAACTCAAAGCCATTTCAAATGGTATGGCACATTCCATCATTTATAACACGTTTGAACATCGACTATTGATGCTTGGCTATCATAATAAAACATTCGTATGATATATACAAAACACGAATCTTAATCGACAACTACTGTTTTCAAACAAAAATATACCTTCATTCAAATATCATCAACGATTATTACCACAATTCTAGCGGTAACCGTGTCGAACAGTACAGCAGTACAGTGCAATTACATTGATATTCTCGCTGTTGTACAATAAAATCTTATCAGCACACGTATGGGGATGCATGTGCGATTGAAGAGTTTCTATCGGTTGTCTACAATCACTTTTGCATCAGAATCACCTCCGAAAATTGTCTCGTTTAGTCTGCTTAAGTTGTCACAGAATTCATGATGGCCGAAATGCTGTCCAAGTGCTAGAGTTTCGAATCGGAACATCATCGTTAAGTTTTCTCATGAACTTACAGTTTTCCGAATTGTGATTGCCTTCACCGGTAGATATACAACAGTGATAACAACATCTTGATTCAAGAAGTGTTTAAAATGAGTACTGAGATTTTACGGCTATGTATAGGAGACGCGTTCACCGTCTCAACCTTACTGGATCATATACGGCATACTCATAGAATCAGACGAGTAACAACAACGAATTAGTTCCAATAAAGTTTGCCCGAGCATTGAAAATGCGCATATTTATCTGCGACTGATCTGTGCATGATCGACGGGAGTTGTCTGCTCCAATTCACACATCAAAATATAATATATAGTTTCGAATAAATTCCATACTGCAAATTAGAACTCGGCAAATTCCTTCGCACATTTTTCTGTACCGGAGATTCGTAACGGTTCCTCCTCGTAATCATCGAAATTCGACGCATCGCCGGGCCCACGACACTTCGGAAGGAATGGAGCTTCGATCTGAATTTCAAAATTTACAAACAATTTTCTCAGAATTCATTCATGAAAATTCCAGTGAATCATAATTGCATTACGAGAAAAATCTTATTGAATGTGCTCGGTGAATTTTGTATCATCTTCACAGGCACCTATGTCAAAGTACTATCTACTTCCCTCTTTTGATATNCCACAATCTTTTTCGTGACAATCTCGACTTTGATTTATCTCGAGTTACGGCTAATGAAGATAACGTGTTGCTTCTCAACTTACATGTGGTACATGCCTTGTTTATAATGATAAAAGACTTTTAAGATGGGACTCGACCAGAATCTATGTAACTGTTCACTAATTGGTGCTGTCAAAACTGTGCCCTCTTCAATTTCCTCTCTCTTGTTCAGAGTTCTCAAGTAACATCAGAATTCAACAGAGATTTTGAACCGACATGGAATCAAATGTATGCCCTCTGAGTTCATTGGATCTTCGAAACGAATTATGACCTCACAATCAGCACACTACCGGCCCATTACACGCTCTTTTGAAATCTATATACGGTACTCTCTTCTCTCATCATCAAATCATCTGTTTATGCCAGCTTTCCGTACTAACCTCGACAACTGCCTCAGTAATGTAGATAATCGAGTAATCTTCATGAGTTTCAGGCTCTTATAGCAGTGAAGCACCAAAAAGCAAAAGAAGCATCAGTTAATGCGAAGAAAACCCGTAAAAAGTGACGAACAAACCGAAGAATCAAATGAAATTTTAAGTTTGCTGATTGCATATCTCGGCACTGAATATGTTTCATTCTTACGAGAATCTTTATTTGCAAACATCATTCTCAGTTGAATCACATTTGGTTTGTTCAAGATATGAGCGAAAAATTTAAAATTAACGAGTGAGTGCACTGAAGTCGAAACTTCCTTTTTTTCGTTCAATTTCTTTTTTTGCAGTGAAATTTTTCGACTTATTTCCTGTTGAATCCGTCTATTTTCCAATGTTAAAGTTTTTCATTTCGATGAAAGTATCTATAGGAATTTTCTCCATCGGAAACGACGAAATTCCCATCGAATATGCATGCAAAAAGAAACAATGTGAAGAAGCCACCACAAAACAGACCCACAAAAATGCAAACGTATAGAATAGATTGACATTCAAATCACAAACTGGTGTCCCGCGCCCAAATTGCGCCCGATCAAACAGTTGCTTCAAGAAAAAAATGCACACCACCAAATGTTTAAAAGAATAATTTTT